GTATAGGCAATAGCCTAAACTGGTAAGACAAACCATACTTGGGTATCCGTAGAGAAAGCCAAGTGATGTCAGATCTATAAATTAGATAGTATTAATGTATTATATTAGCTTTGATCTAATAAAGATACCAGCAAGGCTGCCAATATTAGAAAAAAAAAATTTAAAAAAATCTTTTAACAGAAATATAATTTATTTAAAAATCTATTAATTTGTCAAAGGTTTTTTTGATTTAGCTTATTTTAAAAAATTATAATACTTTAAAATTTATACTAATAAATATTGAATATATTTTACTACCTAGTATTAAAATAAAATTTAAAATTTTAATTTAGGGTTTGCCTATTTTCACTATAGCTTTTTGCTATTTCCACAATAATATCTATTTTTAGTTAACTAACTAAATTTAAAAAAATAATTTTTTTAAAATTAAAGAAATTTTTATTAAGTTAAAAGAAGTGTCATTTATCACCTGATTTTTTTACTTAGTAGCCTACCCCCCTCCCCCCACCTGACTCTAAAAATTAGCCAATCAAATTATACAAAAATTTATATATATAAATTTATATAATTAATATAATTTTAAAAATTAATAACTTTTGATCTACTGATTTGATTTGGATGATTTAACTACCAAAATGATCCTTTTAATAAGATGATTCTAATGAATCCAAAATTATCCAAATCTGATCACATAATCCTGAGATCGTTAGAGTTTTGTGTTATATTACTATATAGTAAATATAAACAAAACTCTAACGATCTCAGGATCACGTGATCAGATTTGGATATTTTGGATTCATTAGAATCATCTCATCGAGAAAATCATTTTGGTAGTTAAATCATCCAAATCAGATCAGTAGATCAAAAGTTATTAATTTTTTAAAATTTTATTATTTTTATATTTTTTAACCTGCACCCTAATAGCGTGTAATATAATTTTTTTAACTAATTAAAATAAAATATAGTAACCTGACACCCTCCCCTCCGTCTCTCTAGCCAATTAAAATATAATGTAGCAAGTAGCCTGCACCCCCTCTAGTTAACTAATATATATAATATAATATAATATTTAAACATTAATAACTTTTGATTTACTAATCCGATTTAGATAATTTAACTACCAAAATGATCCTCTCGATGAGACGATTCTAATGAATTCAAAATCATCCAAATCTGATTACGTAATCCTGAGATCGTCAGAGGTTTGTGTTATATTACTATATAGTAAATATAACACAAAACCCCAATGATCTCAGGATCATGTGATCAGATTTGGATGATTTTGGATTCATTAGAATCATCTTATCGAGAGGATCATTTTGGTAGCTAAATTATCTAAATTGGATCAGTAGATTAAAGTTATTAATATTTAAAGATTATATTATATTATATATATTAGTTAACTAGAGGGGTGCAGGTTACTTGCTATATTATATTTTAATTGGCTAGAGAGACGGGGGGTGTCAGGTTACTACATTTCGTTTTAATTGGTTAAAAAAAATTATGTTACACGCCATTAGGGGGGTGCAGATTAAAAAATATATATATTATTTAAAAATAATAAAATTTTTAAAAAATTAATAACTTTTGATCTACTAATCCGATTTGAATGATTTAACTACCAAAATGATCCTCTCAATGAGACGATTCTAATGAATCCAAAATCATCCAAATCTGATTACGTAATCCCGAGATCGTCAGAGGTTTGTATTATATTATTATATAGTAAATATAACACAAAACTCTAACGATCTCTGGATCACGTTATCAGAATTGGATGATTTTGGATTCATTAGAATTGTCACATTGAGAGGATCATTTTGGTAGTTAAATCATCCAAATCAGATTAGTAGATCAAAAGTTATTAATTTTTAAAAATTATATATAATAATAATTATACAGTATTGTTAAATCATACTACTAGATTAGTCCTAAGGAAATGGATGAAGTATCTGAGACTTCTTGACTGACAAATGTACCGGAGATGTCTTGGTGACACAAGTTAGTTACATTACAGAGGGGTTAAACGGGTAATACCCATAGTTGGATTACAGGTACGGCATCTAGTGTAGAACCTGTATAATATACAGGCGGACTACTTAAATTAGACACCAAAAGTGTACGTGTGGCTAGTATATACTCTCTAATGTAGGGGGATCCCTAGAGAACCCTTTGCTATATATACTTGAATAAAGATCCTAGCTCCCAAGAGGGTAGACATTAAAAAAAAAAAAAAATCACACTACTAGTACTAAACACCATATTATAGTCACATGATTTTATTTATTAATTACACGAGATTTATTAATTGATTTATTGTATTGCAAAGCTTTAATATTTAATACAATATAAAATAATTCAATATCAATATAATATTAGGAATTTCAATTTGCACAAGTTCGTGCATTATGATCTTTTTTATAACAAATTCTACATTGCCTTGATTTATTCTTGCTTTCACGATTTTGACCAGATTCAATTTTATATAAAAAAGAAAATTACGAATGTGCGTATATATGCAATTTGTATGAAATCAAACCCCAAAAAAGAAAACTGCAGATATGTACATATATATATTAAGACATACGTATCTGTTTTTTTAGAAATTGTTTGATTAACCTTAAACTCAACGATCAGATCTTCATTATCGCTATCTTCAGATCTTTTTTTTTCTTTTTTTGACTTTTAATATTCATAATATCATTGAAAGCTTTTTTTCTCTTTGATTTTTGTTCTTTTGTTTTGATGCCAATTGAATTACTGATAGTATGTGCAAATTCACTTAAATCATCACCTTGTTCTATTGTTTGACTCTTATTTTTTGCAATTTTATTTTCTATTTTATTAACAAGTCTCGAATGCATTTCATAAAGCTCTTCTGCTCTGTCTGTAGAAATAGCTAAGTTAAGTGCTTTTTTCATTATTCTGAATCCTTTCCCCCATTGCTGTTTAAGTATAAATTTATGATAAACTTCTTGTGTAAAAACATGTCGTCCATGAATATTTTCTGGATGCGAACATTCGATTTGTTCATTGTTTTCTAAAGTACTATAATCTTCATTTAAAATTGATACAATTGTAGACTCATTTGCAAGCATTGAATCTACTGTTAAATTAGTATGCCAACATTGAGAAATAAGATCTATATGGAACTTTGCCTTTGCTGAAACAAGCATAATTGAGAAAAAATGATAACACACAAGACCATGATTAATTAGTATCAAATATATACAAAGATGTGCGGTATTGTCATACAAAACGATAAAATTTTTTGATTTTTTGTTTATAGAATAAACACTCCAAATTTCATAAATTCAGAGTAGTCCAATTTTAACAATTAAATCCTCAAGCTCAATCAAGCTTGTATCAAAAAAGTTTTCAGAGAACATATTATCAGGTGATTCGATATTGGTAGTCTACAAGAAAAAAAGATAAGTATTTCTTATATTTTAATTATAATTTTTTTAACATTAATATTAACCTGCTATATAGCTTCTTCATTTAAACTAATCATATTGCACTGGTAATGTACACTGTGGTTTATCTTATTTTGTTGAAGTTTTATGATCGCTGGTGTTCAAAAACATTGATATATTCTATCAATTTTTTTAAAATATTGATCATGATATTCTTCTTCTCGGCTTATTAGAAACTTGCTAATCGCATCATTTAAATTTACGAACTAACTTTCTTTTACTAACAACCTTTCAATAGTATGATCAAGTTCTAGAAGAGATGATGTTTCATTCATATTACTTTTAATTATACTATTGTAGACTTCAATGCATTGCATGTTTTAAACTTCTAAGTTAAAAGCACAATGCGTAAAGCTTAGAGCCTATGCTTTCCTATATGGATATAATTGATGCTGCAAGTAATCAGCTGCTTCAGTATATTTCTGCACTAATGTGGACCACCTCTTATTAAAAACTCTCTCAACACGGCTATTACATATGAAACAAAAAGCTGCAAAAAATTTTCGCCATTTTTCATCACGAAACTTACTAAAAAATGTTTTCTAGGTTTTTACAGATGTGAAAAAGACAGAAATGGTATTTTGTTAATGGCCAGGTGCTTTTTGCTGCTGCTATTATCGTGAGATCAGTGTCTGTATAAAGTAGAGATAAGATTAATCCACTTGTTGCTTTTTTAAGGCTTTCAAAAAGCCAAGAAAATGTATCCTTAGTTTTGTCAAACAATAGTGCAGTAGCTTCTAGTCGTGATCAATTATGGTTGTCAATTAAAATAACAATATACAAAATCATTGAATATCTGTTTGTTTTAGCTATTGTGTCAAGTAATATTATATCAAAGAAATGAGCCCATAATTGTTGTTAGCTTGGTCTTATCTAGCAGAAACTTACAAGATAGTTGTCTTTGCTTTCAAAGTGTATATTTATATAGAGTATTGGATTATCTTGCTTTTGCTTCATAAGCTTAATATATATAGAACCAGTATCACTAGTAACTCTTTTTTCATGTCTAATTGCCTGAACCAGATTATAAATGTTACGAGCATGAATATATTTTGTTAGGTTTTTATGCTATAGGACTTTAATAATAGCTTCAGCATATACTCTAGAAGCTGCAAGAATTCTTACTTCATCACGAATTTCTGGAAAAAGTTTACGGTAACGAGAAGTAACCATGTCAATATTCTTAACAAGCTCATAGTTATGTTGACCATCAACCTTCATAATATAGACCAAATTGTCTGTCTTCCAGTAATACGTATTTACATGAAATTTACAATTTCCTGTATGATGCCCTTTGTTACGACCTTCAATTATATGAGCTTCTTTTCGTAGAACATGTACTCGACCTTTCATATACGTATAAACATATCATCATAGAAGTTTATCTTCTTTATCTATTTCATTATATGTAATTGTAAAAGCAAAGCTATATTCCAAGCCGTGATTGTCAAGATATTTTTAAAAAAAAAAAAGTTAACATATCACGTTAATAACAACACAATTCTTTAATTTTATAGTTCATAGTTACTCAGTGAGTTCCTTCCAAATCTTAAAGTCTATTCTCTGTATAACTGGATATAAAGGGCCTGATTTCTCAGTAGTTTTATCATCACTATTTTCCTCAACGTTTGGTGGTTCATTTAAACAAGGTAATTCTATGTCTGTTGCTTGTAATCTTTCATCATAAGTTTCTAACTAGTCAAATTTATCTTCCAACACATCTAAATAAAGTGGTTCCTCAACAACTGTTAATATGTCTTTTTGAGTTTCATGTATATTTGACTGATTAAAATCATCATTTGGTTTACAGGTATCAACAATACTACTATAATCATTCTCAATATCAAATAATGAGAATAAAGAGAGTTCAGTGTCATTAAAATAAGGTGATTCCTTAACTTTCAGGTGTTATAATTCTCCTATATCAGTTCTCTATTGAGTTTCATGTATATTCGAACGATTAAAATAGTTTTTGGATTTGTAGATATTAGCAATACTGTTACAACTATTTTCAGTATCAAATAATGAAAAGAATAAAAGGAGTTCTGTATCGTTAATATTTGATAAGTCGTTTATTACAAATCACACTAATCCTTTTCTATTTCTAGTTCTAGAGAGAAAGTCAAATATAAAAAGATTGACAATCTCAAAAATTGTTATTTATAAGATCAGATCTGATTACATCATAATTAAATAGTTAATTTGATAAATGATGATCATATATATAAACAAGTAGTGTTTAGTACCACTAGTTTGATATAAAATTTTCATAATTATATATTACTGTATATATAATATATATAATATATACTGTATAACCTGATTTTAGACCAGACTCTCACCCCTAAAAATCAGGTGATAAATAATATCTCTCTAAAGTTAGTTGAGCTTCTAATTAAAGTTGTAAAGAAGGTTTTTATAATATTTAAATCATCTAAATCAGTCTAGTAGATCTCAAGATATTTGGGATCAAAGATATGAAGATAGTAATCTGCAAATTGCTAGTTAGAGTAGTGTCATTTATCATCTAATTATTTTTTATCAGAGGCTTATACCTCTTTTCCTCTTTTAATATAAAAAAATCAAGTTCTTATATATAATTTTAACTTTTTTTACCTCCCTTCTTCTTTAAAAAATTATCTAATTTTTGTCATATCTCTTACTGTATATATCCAAAAATAAGCTACTATTTTTGGCCAAAAAGTTATACAAAAATTTTGTGAGTAGCTTATTATTAAATAAAAATATTTTTATGAATTGTAAAAAAATTTATTAAATAAATCGATTATGTTTATTAAGTGAAAGTTGTTCAAGAGGTCAAAATATATATTTTTTAAAAGTTTTATATAAATTGGATAACTTTTTATTAATTAACTTTTGATTTTTAAATTCAATACATATAAATTTTAAAGAAATATTAAAGAAATTTTAAAAAATTTGGCAAACATAACATACAATATGAATTAATAAAAAGTTATTCAATTTGGATAAAACTTTTAAAATATATATATTTTAATTTCTTAAACAACTTTCTCTTAATAAGCTATATCAATTTACTTAGTAGAATTTTGACTTTACTATAGAGTAACTACTGATGATTATTAAGTAGCTTATTTTCAGATATAAGACATTTTTATATTTTTCTTCCAAAAAAGAAAATTAGTTTATTTTTGGATGTAGCTTATTTTTGAAAATATATAGTATATAAAGTATTATAGACTATAATACTTTGTGTAACTAGCAATTTGTAGATCATTATTTTCACATCTTTGATTTCAAATATCTTGATCTAAATATTATTAGAATTATAAAAACCTCTTTTACAACTTTAATTAGAAGCCCAAAAGAGATTAGCTTATTAAAAACTTCTTTAAATTTTAAAAAATTATTTTTTAAAATTTAATTGGTTAATTAAAGAAGTTTTTAATAAGCTAACCTTTCTTGGACTTCTAATTAAAGTTATAGAAAAGGTTTTTATAGTTCTAATAGTATTTAGATTATCCAAATCATTCTAGTAAATTTTAAGATATTTGGAATCAAAGATACAAAGATAGTATTATAGTCTATAATACTTTGTATAACTAGCAATTTGTAGATCACTATCTTCTTGTCTTTGATCTCAAATATCTTAGAATCTACTGAGCTAACTTACTGTATTCCTCTAAAAATAAGCACCTCTCGAAGCAATTTTTATAGCCAAAATTCTTGTATTCTAGTGATCAGATCTACATGATTTTGGTACTATTTGAATCGACTAATCAAAGTAAGTCGAATATTACCAAAATTATGCAAATCTGATCATTAGATCATGAGAAGTTTGGCTATAAAAATTGCTTCGAGGGGTGCTTATTTTCGGAAAAATATAGTAATAAAAATTTCTTTAATTTTAAAAAAATTATTTTTTTAAATTTAATTAGTTAACTAAAAATAGATTTTTTTATTATTTTATAGTAGAAATAGCAAAAAGCCATAGTAAAAATAGTAGCTTCCTTAATTTATTACTTAAAAATATTTATTTATTATCTTAAGTTCTTAGAGAAGTACCAGAAATCACCATGGATACATAGTCAAACAAAAGATCACGTATATATATATAATATAGATGAAATTCTATTTTTATCTAGGTTAAAGTCATCTGATATATAATTTTCATTATATTATATAATACAAACTACTATAACCAACTAAAAATTCTATAGATTGGTTGATTAGAAGTTAGAATAGATGTATTATATAAATTTATATTATATAGTATAATAAAATTATATATTGGGTGACTTTAATTTGGTAAAAATAGAATTTCCTATAATATAGTATATAATCAAATATAATAAAATATATAATATATAAATTATATATATATTTTAATAAATCTTTAATATTAAATAACTTTTGATCTACTGGTCTGATTTGGATAATTTAATTGTCAAAATGTTCGTCTTGATGAGATGATTCTAATGAGTCCAAAATCGCTAAAATCTAATTACAGGATCCTGAGATCGTTAAAGTTTCTTGTACTATTTTGTATATAATAAAATTAATTTTATTATATACAAAATAGTACAAAAAACCTTAATGATCTCAGGATTTTGTAATTGGATTTTAGTGATTTTAGATTTATTAGAATCATCTTATCAAGATAAATATTTTGGTGGTTAAATCATCTAAATCAGACTAGTAGATCAAAAGCTATTCAATTTTAAAAATATTAAGAAGATTTTTAATAATTAATTAAATCAGCCAATCAGAATCAAGCTAGAAGTGATCACACTATATATGGATGGGGGTGGCTACTAAGTAAAAAATATTACATGATAAATGACATGCTTTTTAAATAAAAAAATATAGATATGATGATTTAATAAGTAGTTAAATTGTTGTACCCAAATAATATATTAACAAAATAGAAAATTCAAAATTTATTGATAACAAATTTTAAATATCCTACTTGTATAATAGTTACTATTTTTTGATACTTAGTTAAAATAAGATTTTTATAACTTTGGTGATATTAACAAGATTGAAAGATTATAAGCATTCATGCAATATATAAATTATATAAAGATATATAAGCTAGCTTTGAGTAGTACAAATTTAAGATAAGTTCTTATAATTATATAAATTCAAGAAACTAAAAAGACAAATATTTACTTAGCAAAACCTAAACAAAAAGATAACACAAATCTTCAATAGTAGCTACCTATATAGGTTTTATATAAAACAGGTTAACTAGATAAGACAAGAGTACTGGCAAATTATTTTACTAATCAGATCACTAGAGTATTGAATAAAGAAGAAGAATCTACTAAGTAGATATTATAGGACTGATATTTTTTCTGGGCTATCTGAATTGGTAGTCTAAAAAACAGGCTAGAGATATCTTAATGAATAAGTATTAAATACTAGATAGTCTTAAAAAAGAGATACTAGAATTTGGGTAAACTCTATAAAACAAAAGTAAGTAATAGTAATAGAGATTGAAAGATCAGCTACAAGTATTTGTTTTTGAACTTGATATAAACTACTAAAATCTAGTTTAGCCAAATTGTAAATATAAAAGCTCTAGCAAATTTATTTGAGGATAAAAAGCTTTTTAAAATAGTTAAACCTGCTTTAAAGTTCTAAACCAAATATTTAAAAATAAGAAAATACTAAAATACTTTCACTTAATTATAAAAGATAACCTCATAGGTATAGATAATTTAAATAGTTTATTTTTTAGTTAAGTTATAAATATAGTATCTAGTATAGAACTTAATAATAAATAGACTATTTAAATAAACAATTAAAGTTGTATATATAGCTAGTTATATCTTTCAAATATGTATACTATATAAACTATCCTAATGAGAAGTTAATTGTATAGTAATATCAACTTAAAACTGAATAAAAGAAGATAGCTAAAAGATCTTTTTTTTTTTTTTTTTTTTTTTTTAGTTATTAAGGCCGATGTTACGGAGCTTACTGCCTTTATTTGTATTTTTAGTTAATGCATTACATATAACTTGTACAAGGTGAGTGTGCAACCAGCCACACGTGCAACTTTTGGTTGCCTA